GCTTTCAATTGTGATTACAATTTTTATCAAGAGCTTCTAAAAAATACAAAATGTCTTACAAAGTTGAACTAGAAATAAAAAATTTTTTGTTAACTCACCAAATAAAATTAGTTTTTTATATAAAACTACTGCTTACATAATAAATACAAAAAATATTAATAAAAAAAATGTCTTATTCTAACAAATGTTTCTCTGAAAAATTTAGATGAATTTTCTTAAGAAAAAAAAAATTGAAATTATAAACAAATATAGAATAGCTACAACCAGCCTAAAACGTCATAAATACTAACTTAAAAATTCTTATTTTTGACATATTGTCAAAAATAAAATTTTGTTTAAAAAATTCTTCTTTGTTTAGTAACAAAAAAGAAGAAGATTTATTCACCATTGATAGATGCCCGGAAAAATGTAACAAATAAATGGAAAATTCAAAATGTGATATTTTACTGACTGCATAAATTAAATAGAAATTATATAATTATAAATTTTGCTTAAATTTTGAATTTCTGACCTTTTGTTTAAATTATTATCACTTTTGCTAATACAAACCATTTCCAAAAAAGTTCTTTTAAATTTATTACTTTCATTACATAAAATTTTAATATTATCAAAATCCATAATATGGTCTTTGTCTATTACATGCTCTGCCAAAGCACAAGATGGTTTCTTAATTCTACAATCACTCTTGTGAGAAATAATGCGATTAGAGAGATTTCTTCCAGTCTCACCAATATACTCAGCTTCACACTGAGTACAAACAATGCTGTATACTACATTTGTTTGATCTAATTTGTCTATAGGATATTTAGTTTTGGAATATAAAGATGAAATAGTTTTGATGTTCTTTGTTGCTATTTTTATATTGTTAATAACCTTTAATGTTTGTATTAATTTAGGAGTTAATGATGGTATAAAAGGTAGTGAATGATAATATATGTTTTGATTGTTGGATACAGTGTTTTGAGATTTAGCAAAAAATGGTGTTAAGTTATTTATATTTAATAAATTAGAAAAAAGCATCCTATGTAGCATATCAGGAGGATAAGAGTTTTCAATTAATCAAGATCTTCATTTGTTAAAAAATATTTTAATTGAAAACTCTTATCCTCCTGATATGCTACATAGGATGCTTTTTTCTAATTTATTAAATATAAATAACTTAACACCATTTTTTGCTAAATCTCAAAACACTGTATCCAACAATCAAAACATATATTATCATTCACTACCTTTTATACCATCATTAACTCCTAAATTAATACAAACATTAAAGGTTATTAACAATATAAAAATAGCAACAAAGAACATCAAAACTATTTCATCTTTATATTCCAAAACTAAATATCCTATAGACAAATTAGATCAAACAAATGTAGTATACAGCATTGTTTGTACTCAGTGTGAAGCTGAGTATATTGGTGAGACTGGAAGAAATCTCTCTAATCGCATTATTTCTCACAAGAGTGATTGTAGAATTAAGAAACCATCTTGTGCTTTGGCAGAGCATGTAATAGACAAAGACCATATTATGGATTTTGATAATATTAAAATTTTATGTAATGAAAGTAATAAATTTAAAAGAACTTTTTTGGAAATGGTTTGTATTAGCAAAAGTGATAATAATTTAAACAAAAGGTCAGAAATTCAAAATTTAAGCAAAATTTATAATTATATAATTTCTATTTAATTTATGCAGTCAGTAAAATATCACATTTTGAATTTTCCATTTATTTGTTACATTTTTCCGGGCATCTATCAATGGTGAATAAATCTTCTTCTTTTTTGTTACTAAACAAAGAAGAATTTTTTAAACAAAATTTTATTTTTGACAATATGTCAAAAATAAGAATTTTTAAGTTAGTATTTATGACGTTTTAGGCTGGTTGTAGCTATTCTATATTTGTTTATAATTTCAATTTTTTTTTTTCTTAAGAAAATTCATCTAAATTTTTCAGAGAAACATTTGTTAGAATAAGACATTTTTTTATTAATATTTTTTGTATTTATTATGTAAGCAGTAGTTTTATATAAAAAACTAATTTTATTTGGTGAGTTAACAAAAAATTTTTTATTTCTAGTTCAACTTTGTAAGACATTTTGTATTTTTTAGAAGCTCTTGATAAAAATTGTAATCACAATTGAAAGCTCGAGTAAAAAATAGTCAACAAATAGCCCCTTTTATTGACTCCAACCCATCAAAAACAGTGTTATATATATATATATATATATATATATATATATATATATATATATATATATATATATATATATATATATATATATTGAACAGATTGAACGAATTTAAAAAGGATCATACTATTTATTATATGTCTGTTTGAACTGCATTTGAAATAGTGTTAAAATTATTCTACGAATTAAATGTATTCCAAAATTTAGTAAAAATATAATACATTTTTCAGACCACCCCTTAAAGTCAGGCCACACGAAGTACAAGAATGTGTATGACATGTTGCGTTTGGTCATATTTATGTTTTTCTAATATTATATTATTTATTTATGTTTATGTTTCTAATATTTGACAATATTTGAATTTCCACAAATTCAACGAAATCTTGTTTTACCACTTTGTGTTGTGCAAATGCAGATGAAGGGTTTCTACCTCCATATGTAAAAATGAAAGGTAGTCTGAAGTGGTCGGATTGGATTTTTGGTGTACCTAATGGTACGAAGTTGAACACTTCAAAATCTGGCTGAATTTAAAATTCTGTATTTGATGACTGGTTTGAGACACATTTTCTACCGTACGCCAACAAAAGCAAAGGTAGAAACATGTCAGCACATATTTCAATAAAGACATTAACACTTGCAAGGAAACATAATGTTCGTTTAATATTTTTCTCTCCAAACTCTACCCACTTACTGCAACCGCTGGATGTGGGGTATATTGCCAGTCTTAAAACATATTAGCGCCAAATTTTAACCCAGTTTAGAGCGACCAAGGGAGGAAGAAAGACAGTAGCTATGCCAAAATCAGTATTTTGCCAACTTCTCAAAGCAACCCTAGACCTCGGAAAGGACACTGCAGCTCGTAATCTCAACAAAGGGTTTGAGGCTTCAGGAATTTATCCCACTGACCGAAACAAGGCATTGCTAAAACTTCGGTTGTATGCTCGACCAATAGGTGAAAAATGAAGATATTGGAAAAGAATTTAAATTATACGTAGAGAAGATTTGTGAAAATGATTTGCAAAACGTTACGAGAACAAAAAAAAATCTGTCTTCCAATAACTGCTGGCAAAAGTGTTTCAGTCGAAGAAGTAAACCAGTATTATCAAAACAGGAGTTAAACTACTAGCAATACTATAAAATCTACACAAAGAGGTGTACCGAACCCACAAGATGTAATAAAACCATGAGGTGGACTAAAAAACGCGATGTGGACCAAAAATACGAATACGACTAAAAAAACTGTTGAAGAAGCAGAATGCATACCTGCAGTTAAATCAAGAACAGATGCTGGATTATGGAGATCTGCATGGTCAGCAAATTTTGGAAGAAACCAATATAACTGAAATTATAGTCGAGGACTCAATTGGCCACAATTTCGACATTGACAATATGCCAGTAGATATTGTACTGGCAGAAAGGACAGAACAGGATGAAATATCCTACGATACAGATGAAATACATAGTAAGTAGAATGGACGAAAATAAAGGTAAAAATTGCAGTGAAGTAAAGAAGGAAAGCAAGACAGATCAAAACAAACTAAAAAATCAGCAGAAAAGGACTTCGCATTCCCCTCAATCATTTTCCTTGGGTGAAATTCAAAGCAAGAAGGATCTGGCAGAAGCTATTAATTTTAAACATCAAGAAATATCTTCTGGATTGTGTTATTTTTGTAATTTCAATGTTTCTATACATTCACACATTACATTACATTAGATATAAAATGTAAGAAGTGCATAAGAATATTTCATTTGAGGAGTATTGAAGATAACACACTTCACAAATCAAATTCCAATATGTTTATTTGTGCCACTTGTTTAAAGAAACTGGGATTCACCTATCGAGTGAAAAATTTAATATTTCTGTTGGTAAACTAACGAAGAATCTTTATTTAGTATTGTTTTGTAGGACTTTAGTTTCCTAATAAATATTTTTAAATTAGTTTTAGAGCACATATTGTTGAATCAACCCATGAACAGTCATATAAAACAGAATGGTAATAAGGCCTGGGCTAAAGATTTTGTGCCGTGTAATAACTGTGTAATTTTTTTACATTCGAAGTAACCTAATGCACTCTTGTAAAGTTGTCCTGATAGTTTAAAACATCAAATATATAGGATTTTCCTTATAAATGTAGATATGGTTCAAAGTTACACCAATAGCGGGTCTAACTCTGAACCATGACAATTTTTTTTTTTTTTGATTATACTTGCTACTGTTGCAAATTTATAAGCTTGTAAGACATTATTGAACTATACATAGTCATAATATAATATAAAAGGATAACTAAGGAGGTCAGTGTAAAAATAAATCAAGACAATATTTAAAAAGTGGATCAAAGTTACCACGAATGACTAACCAAGATAGTTAAATTTAAGATTTAAATCGAAACCTTTTTAAAACAAGTTTAAAACAAAATCCAGGATCAAAATTGCTCAGTAATAGCAATAAAAAGAGAAAAAATTAGACAGATATAAACTTTTTTCAATAGATTAGATTAATTATTACAAAAAAATCTGTAGTATAGCTCTGAAATCAAACATTTAATTTGAAGATACAAGGTTGGAACTCCATTTTTCTAAAATAGTGTTCATGCAAGCTGGAGTCTCTTGTGAATGACATTAATAAGACCTCACTGGTCTGTATACACAAATAGAAGTAATATTCCAATTGTTTTCCCACAATAACCCTAGAACAGAAGACACTTTTTGTTTTTTTCGATCTCTTGAAACATTTTAAAAATTGAGATAGACTTCTTTATCTGGAAGGGGACGTTATGATTATGACTATAATATTTTTTTTTTATTTTCAGGTAATATTATGAAATATATTCGTGATGATGGTACCACTGTATATAAACTCACCGATTTTGGAGCCGCGAGAGAACTTCAAGAAGGCCAATACTTTCAATCTTTGTATGGTACAGAAGAGTATTTGCATCCAGATATGTATGAAAGGGCAGTTCTACGGAAACCTGCTAACAAAACTTTTGGTGCAACTATAGATTTGTGGTCCATCGGTGTAACATTGTATCATGTTGCTACAGGAAACTTACCCTTTAGACCATATGGAGGGCGTCGGAATAAAGAAACTATGCATCAAATTACTACAAAAAAAGAAAGTGGTGTAATATCCGGTATACAATATCGCGAGGGTGGACCAATAGAATGGAAAAGGGAGCTTCCAATGAATTGTCAGTTAAGTTATGGTCTTAAAAAGATAGTAACTCCTTTATTAGCGGGTCTATTGGAGGCGGATCATAGAAAAATTTGGTCATTTGACAAATTTTTTAATGAAGTAGATGTTATTCTTTCTCGTAAACTTTTTCATATATTTCACGTAAATAAAGCCCAGCTAATTAAAATATATATACTTCCAATAGAAAATTATACACATTTACAAAGTTATATAGCGGAGCAAATTGAAATTAAAGAAAATAGTCAAATTCTAATTTATCAGAATAATCTTTTAAAAAATCTTATAGAAGAATATACTTTAATAACAGGTTATCCAAACACTAGTAAAGAAGATCCATATTTTTTATTTGATAGAGAAAACAATAATATTACTGTGGTACCTGATCCGGAATTACCGAAATTTAACGAATTTTCCAATGTAATGTCTGTAGAAAATGATGCTGCTCAAGCGAAATCTGCGTGCAGCATTGGTCACCAATATAAACGACAGATTGATAAATATTCACTGTTTAGTAAGCTTATTAGGGATACTGTTCAATATTTTACGAAGTACATAACAACAGTATTACAAGAACTGCATCAAAATACACAACATCTCTTGGATAAGACTTTAACGCTACAAAAGACTGCAGATATATTGCAAATTTCACAACAAATTAGTCGCTATAATAACAAAATCAATTTTGTGGAAAAATTGGAAAGTCTGAGTAAAGATTTTTTAACAATCTCTGTACAAGGTGTTACAAATTTGCATAAAACGCATTGTACAGATTCCAATCTTAAATTACAGTGGGAAAACACCAACAGAAATCTTAAGTGTCCTTATAAAACACTCTCTCCAGCTAGGGCTAAAAGTCAAGTAGAACATTTAAGAGATTCTTGGCAACATTTAGTAAGAGATAGAGCTACACGTACATTAAGCTATAATGATGAACAATTTCATATATTAGAACGTATAAAAATCACTCAGACCCTGAATAGATTGAAAAACTTATTTGAGCATGAAGTGTTTCCTCAGTATGAGCAGTTAGCAGAAAATTTCGGCGATTGGTATAAAATAGCTCAAAACATCCATCTAAAATCTGAAATTTTGATTTCAGATGTTAAAAAATATGAAAGCAAGTTGACCGAATTTGAAGAAGATATTGCGATTGAAAATTCTGATTACACGGATTTTGTCAAAAGCAATAACAAACAAAATACGGTACCCAAGGTAAGAAGTTTGCAAAGTCAAAAATTAAAACAGTGTTTTACTGAATACCATAAAGAGTGTAAAAATATTAAAGATGTTCTTAATGAAAACATAAAACTCACAACTTACTTGAATGACTCAACAATGGAAATCATAAAAAAAATTAATGCAAATGATAATACAGAAATGCAATCAAATTAAATGAAATAACAATAATTTTATAAGCATTGTATTTTAATTAAATCTTTTTTGGTTTAATGCAAGGGCTGCTTAATAGACCAGGGTGATCTGTGAAAAAGCGACTAAATTTGGATGTGAGAAATGGAATTCGGATTTTTATAGATAAAATTGTGTGACAACTTCAGTAATAATAATTGTCTTATCCTCCCTCTCAAATAGGTCACGAACATTAATAAAAAGTATAAAATATTTAAAAATTACTAAAAACCTCCATTACCCTTATTGCAAAATAGCAATAAATACAAAAAAGAGGTGGAAACAAGCCTTTCCTTTTTCAATGTTTTCAACCACTTAGATTGCACTTAGGACCTTCATAATTCGTCTAGAAAATCTTTATAATGGAATAAAATAGTCCACCAAATTTCAATAAAATCAATTTAATAGAGTTTGCATAATAATTTTGCAATCTATATTTTTTTTAAAATAAAGTTTTTTGGAATCTTGTACAACACAAACTAGACACATACTTATCAGGAATGTTTTAAACTTATAAACAGTTTCTTGTCCTATAAACAAATAGAATATCCGAGTAACTATTAGCTCAAATTATATTCAGAAGACGGCGTTTGAAAAGACTTGGTAAGACCCTTTTAAAAGAAAAAAAGGTAAATTACGAGCAGTGGTTCCTGATATACAACCAATCAAAGGTGACAGGCATTTACGAGGAAGTTATAAACAATAGGATGGTAATCCTTAAATCATTACCTTTTGGCTTCGGAGCTATTTCTTGATAAAAGTTTTTGTATGCTTAAGATATTTATAACATATATTATAATAATAAACCATAGGTATATACCAATATATTATAGTAAACCATGGGTATTGCACGTGAAAAATACCAAAAAAATAAGGTTGAAGAAAATTGAATTTTTAACTGCCAGTGTTTCCTATAGGACACACGCTAGACTTCTGCGAGAGCCCAGTGTTTCTTATAAGACACACAGTCGATCATATATTGTGAGCTGGTGTTTCCTATAGAATACACAGTTTAATGCATTTTACCTGGAAGACGTGTAGTAGCGGCCCCAACGGATATCTCATGCGAATGGGTTGTGGATACTATAGGTTTTTTGGTAAACATTAAATCAATTAAAAAACATATTTTCAAAAAATATCTAATGTTATTTATTAAAGCACGTTCAACAAAACATTTTATAGCATCCGGTGCACATTGTTTGTACTTGAGTTGCAAATTTGATTTTTCTGTCAACTACAGTTCCTTTTTTGAATCATTCCAAAAACCTTTAATTTTTCGTGCTGGATCTCCAATCATTTTTTGAATTAATTTGTGTCCAGGATTAAGCGGAATTGGCGGTGGTGGTACATCAGTTGCGTATTTTTGCAACAAGAACGAATTACGTCTTTCCTTAATTTAGTAATTTTAAGGGACTTCTGCATTCTCAAATTATTATTGTTGTACAGAAAATGAGCATTAACTATGCTAGTCCCCTATATAATTTCAAATAACAATTTGCTGTACTATATGACGCCATTTGATATCTCAAATCGATGGAAGACTTTCCTGTGTTATAGTCAACTATACACTTGGGTTTGGTGATGTTACTTCCAGAACGTGTAGTCTTTTCTACAATTTGTAATGCAGAATCTTTATTACTATTTTACAGTACTAAGGACAGAAACAATTTTTTATCCCTCTATTTCAAAATACTAATACCATATTTACTCGTGCTGGCAGCAAATTTTCCCTTTTTTTAATTTGGCAGTAACAACAAATATTTTCGATCTAGTTTGAGTATATCAACTGAGTAAGTATTTTGGTTCAGCAGACGATATGCTAATGAAAGGCTAGTGTAGTAATTGTCTGTGTAGAAAACTCTATCTTCATCCAGAAGATCGTCAATGAGCTCCATTACTATACTCTCATTTATACATTTTTTTATCTTCCACAGTACATCGACATATTCCATTTGTATCCTTTGTCACAACACAACTTAATTTTATACCATATTTGTGGCGTTTATTAGGTATATACTGTCGGAAGAGCAATCGTCCTTTCCATGGAATCAGATATACAAATATATCTATACAAATTTTTCTTTCAGGCGTATAAGTTTTTTGGAAATTGCTGATAAATATATTGTTGACGTTTCGTATTTTAATAAGCGGTCATTTTCTGGAGCTTTCATGTTGTCCGATAAATAAAGCATTTTCAAAATGATTTCGAATCTGTTTCTGGACATAATACACCTGGCTAATGGGAAATTATATAAATTATCTGTTCACCAATAGTCGCGAAGAACTGGTACTTTCAAAAATCCCATCCATCCAACAAGAGCAAGGAATCGATATATTTCCGCTTTATCAACTGGTCGCCATTGATGAAGTCTGGATCGCTGAGAGATATTTTGACAGTCGTAAGTATTTGAGTGGCTAAAGATTTGTTTCCTCAACTATTACACTAATTAACTCGTCAGTTAAGAAAAGTTCGAAATATTCCAATAGTTCAGTATTTGCAAACATTGCTTTGTATATTTCTTTCAAACGACTTTTGTGTTCTGCAATAAATTAAAACTGATTCAAACTTATCTTCTTGACACATCTCCCAGACTACGCTCTAACTGATTTTCAACTAACTCTCTTTCGTTTAAAGCTGTCCATGGTTGTTTGTTGTCATCTCTGAAGGTTGGACTAGAAGCTGATGAAGGTACTCGTAGATTCAATTCATGATCAGAATCTTCGTCGGTATACCTAATCGAATATGAATCTGATTCATCTGTCTCACTTGGCATAAAATCAGGATCGTCATACGAATCGTTTTTATAAATAAGTAACTAAAAAGTCTCAATTAACACTATTTTTAATAAATCCAAGGAGGAATAATTTCCAATTTTATTAACATATTTTGAAAATTACTTTTTTAACAGTGGAGAATATTTTTAAAGTGCAGTAATAAAATATTTTTTCTATTCAGTAATTTCAAAACGTTGCGCGATTTTTGCCATTTTTTAGAATTCTCATGAGAACATTAAAATTTATCACGAAAGAAAAGAAAGGTAATGGTTCCGGTTGTATCTCAGGAACCACTGTTGGTAATTCACCTATTTGTCTGTTAAAAAATAGGTCTTGCCATGTCTTTTATAACGCCGTTTTTTGGATTTAATTTAAGCTCATAGTTACCGAGATATTCCATTTGTTTATAAGTCAAAAAATCATTTTAAATCATTTCTGAGTCCGCCCAAATAATTCGATTTTTATTCTATAAAGTTCGTTAGATAAGTGCTTTTTTTCTGACTAAAAAAAAAATAGCAAACTTCTATGTGATCTAGTTTTTGTTGTGCAAGATATTAAAAATTGCAATTTAAAAAAAAAATTAGATTGCAAAATTATTGTGCAAAATCTATTACATTTATTTAATTGAAATTTGGTGGACTATTTTATTCTACTATAAAGATTTTCTCGACGAATTATGAAGGTCCTAAGTGTAATCTAAGTGGTTGAAAAACATTGAATAAGAAAAGGCTATATTATTTCATTATGACTGTGTTCTAAAATTTTTAAATATTAATAATTTTTAGTCAATTAGTATTATCACACAACTTTTTCTGCAAAAATCCGAATAACACCTCTAACATCCATCTCAAAACAGATCCGCCCTTAATAACCACCCGGTCCATAATAAGATTCATTTATATTGCGATTTTATCGAGTTTATTTTAAGTCTCCATAGCTCGTGTTCCTAGTACTCCTGCTTTATACATTTTTTTGGTTAAATAAACCAAATCACCTGTTCATAGATTTTATGATGTTTTAGTGGGGTTTTTCTTCTGTTTCTTCAGCCTTAAGTAATCCACCTTTGGACATACGCCTCCCCCAAATTAATCCAATGTGTTCTATTTTGCGCCACTTGCTTCCAGTTGTCCTCCGATTTTCTTAATATGATACGCTCATTTGTGGTTTTCCTCTGCTTCTCTTTCCTAACCATGGTCTCCATTGTTGTATTTCGTGGTTCTATCTCTTATTCTTCAGTCGGGCATTGTGTTCTGCGAAGCTCAATTTAAATTTGGAAGCATGTTCTCCTGTGTATTTTACTTTGGTTTTGCTTCTAATCATTTTGTTTGTTTTTTTTTTTTGTCTATAAGTCTCACTCCGAGCATTGATCTTTCCATCGCTCTTTGTGCTTTTACTATTTTATCTGTAACTGCGACAATTCATGACGTCCGAGCCATGCCCAGTATCAATCAGAAAATGGTACTTTGTATTGGAACCATGTGCTGAATATTGTCATATTGAGTGACGTTGCAAAATTAATCAGTCGGGTTCCGTTGTCGCTACTTTCTTTGTAATCGTATACAAGAACATGATGAAGGCCGCGTTGCTCAGAATTGGGAGCATTATTGGGGTGAGTAAGGATGACCTACTCAACTAAAAGAAAACAAGAATTGTTGAATTCTAGGAAACTTCAGACAGGACGCCAATAAATCTTTATCTGAGATTTATAAAGGATTCAAAATGGTCAAAAAACATATCAACCAATTCATAAGCGAAATTACTAAAATTTGTTATGTTTACCTACATTCTGCAAAAAAATTATATCTTCAATAAAATAGTAAACTCTAAAAAAATATATTTATTAAATACTCAAGAAATATAAGGACACATATTAACATTAATTAATTTACGACTAAATATATTGCGAGCTGTAACGAAAATAGTCTACAAAAAATTATTTATACTCACTCAAAATCGTAATGAGTGGAGGTGCGTTCACCTTGTTGGCCATATTCTAATGCCAAAAGTAGATAGGCGTTCAGAAGTCGACAAAATAATGAGGGTACATTACCCCAAGTCTTTCTCTTTTTATCGACAGAAGAACGGAAATGCAAAATGGCACGAAACAATTTAGGAGTATCTGCTTAGTAATTAGCCGAGAATTGAAAAAACCCTGCGAAATAAGAAAAATACTTCTTTAGTTTATGTTTAAATGAATGGGGTTAAAAAATAATTAAACCTACCACATAGGACAGTGGGTTTCGCAGCACTAGTGAACTCAAAATTTACGTCAGCGGATATCGCGACAGTAAACTATGAAATGAGATCAAGTCTAAGGTTCACTTTTTTTTATTACTGATCTCCAGACTAATTAAAATTTTTGAGTGGCAATATAGATATTTTTATTAGATACTTGGGGGAAAGGAGGTTATTTTCGTGGGAAGTTTTAGGTTATTTCAACATAATCGCACCCAGACGAATGTAATGGCATTGGAACTGAAGTATTGCATGTTTAGACGTAATAAAAACAGTCTACGAAATGTCACCCTGTCTCAAAATTACACAACAACTTTCACACAACTTCTTCAAATAATAATATTATTTTGCATTAAAAAAACTTATTATTTATGTCTTTTGTGTAGTTTATCTTGTTTATGACTTTTGATGACTAATTCCCATATGATCCTTTTTAATATAGATGTTTACAAATTGACGCTATTCATCCATTTTTAATGTTTACGCCACTAAAACATAGAAACTATGAACAGGTCACTTAGTTCACTTAGCCAAAAAGTTTTTAATTTAAGTTGTATTGTTCAGAAAATAATTGGATGATGAAGACTGCACATTGTATAATAAGGTAATAACAAATTTATATAATTAGTATAAATAATACATTAAGTTGGCTTAAGATGGTTTATTACATTAACAAATCAAACGAAGATCGTATTTTTTAAATGAATAAAAAATTTTAAATTTTAAAACAAAAGTTCAATTTTTTTTCTAGCAAACAAAATATGTTTAAATTTAATAATTAACATTTTTTGTGTTATTTACACTCTTACTCGTATGGAATTTATGTAATTCAGGATTATTGTAACATGCATTAATTTAAGAATTATTTAGGTCCAAAACCGTTCCATCGCTAGACTAATCTGAGAAATTAAAATCTTCTTTTTTTCATTATTATTAAACAGCTAAGTTGTGTTAATACCATTGAAATCGGGTACCAGTTGACAGTCTGTATA